CCCATTTTTTTGCCAATCAGATTCACAAATTCCATTTTCCTTGAAGCCATTTTATCTAAGACAAGGGCCCATGACTTTGGATTCCGTTTGCTAGCTTTTTTCAAAGTTGAGCAGACAAGTTCTTCAAAATGGAGGACTGGTAGTAAATTCTTTCTTGGACTGAAACTATGATTTGGTATATTGTTGATATTCCCTGCTAATAGCACACTGTCATCATTATCATTGGGTTTGTGCTGAATACCCAACAAAGAGGAGTAACCACTGTCTTCGTTTTCATTGTCAATTTCACTGGCACTCTCAATATGCCCCCATGATACTTTTTGGTTTTCTTTATTATGCATAAGCTTTTCTCCACTTTTGAGGTTGAAATTCTTGGGACTTCCATGATGCAGGTCACCATAGAACAGCTTTTCTTTGGTACAGCCTTTGTATTTTTCACTGTAACTCTCAGAGCAAGGCTCTTCTGGTGTTGCTTCTGTTCCAGTTAGTTTTAATGGTAAAGATCCACAGTAAACATGGGTATAATTAAAATCACGTTTCATTTTCAGTGGTTAGGGTAGCTTTTCAAATGTTCCCTGAAATTAAAATATATATATTAGTCCAAATCATTATTTTAAACTAGAGAATGGTTGAAAGTAAAGAACAGGTTTTTTTAAACAAAATCAACAAATTATTGCCTTCATGTTGATAATTCTTGATTATTTTGTTGATAATTGTAAATAGAAATGTGGAAATGTGGCATTCTATAGAAAGGGTTAATATAAGTGGCAAGGTATTTGGCTTCAGACAAAACAAAAATAATAATACTGTTTTATTCCGCATATATGCAACTTAGTAAGATATCCATACAGACCAATTCAACAGAACTCAAATTAAAGATGGCAATAAATATGGTATGTTTATCACAAATTTGATTAGAGGAACCCAAGTTACACAATGTTGGTATATAATAACCTATTAAGTAGTTAATAAATCATATCTACTTAAGGATTGTGAGTTTTCCAAGCCATTCTGTAGCAGTGGTTTTCCTGCATTGGCAAGGTGTTAGCAAATCACATCTGCTTAAGGACTCTGAATTTGGTCAGCCATTTTTCAGATTCTAACAGTGGTTTTCCTGTATGGGCAAAATTGAATAGTCTTTGATCTATTTTTTTTAATCAGAACACATGGCACTAGCTTTGTCTAACATTTTCCAACTGTTCTTGTGCTAAAAACTGCTTCAGTAAAGGTTAGTACACAACTTTCTTTTATTCCAAAATACAAACTTTTTTCAAGAAAGCTAGCAATGCAATTTAGATATCTTTTTCCATATAGCTGGATTTGGCAGACTCCAACTAAGCATGAATAACTCTCATTCACATTACAATTTTTTTCTCCCTTCTGTTCCCAGGGTTGTATAGATGTGAAGGTTACACAAGGGAGGAAAAATTACCTTACCCCAATCTGCTAATGGAAGTCATTCCAGAAGTATTTTAATAGGCTCTACACATTTCATTCAGTGAATTTGAAAAAGGATCAATTGCAGGTATTATTTATGGATAGTATAATGCAGTCATCACTTAGGATATGCTCTTTGGTTCTAACCTACTTATAGTGCCTTCATATATATGAGACAATGAAGTCTGTCAGTTTCAGAACCATTTTTGAAACTGCCTGAATTGCACAACTGCTGCATGGCAACAGCTATTTAAAGACATGTGCTTTGGGTGAATACCTTATTAATCAATGGGGATGAGAAGAATACTCAGATTTCTATAAGCTCAAGGAGTTAAAAGAAAATGGGGAGCCATAAAGGTAATTTCAAAGGTATTATTTTATTATTAAGGGATTATTGATAAGGGAACCAGGAAGGACAGTACATTTCAGACACCTAGGCTGTGCGTATAGCCAAATCCACTGCTTAAATTTTGGTTTATGTAGCCTCCTCATGAGACTCAGGGTTCAGGTTAAAAACGAACACTATACAGAAGCCTGATGATGGCAGATGAGATTCTGCC